CAAATTTAATCATACCCTTCCTAAAACTTCTGCTATAAAATATTATCATTTATGACTAATCCTGGCTTTGTGTTGAAAAGACTTTCATAATGCTAGTTTACTTGCACAGAATTTATTAATAATTGGTTCTAAAGCCTTTCCCCAGCAGGTCATATAACTTTTTATCGGTACTCGAGAATATGGAGTTTAAAAGATTTTCACGATGCATTATTGTGTACATTTTTGATTGTCCATTGTTTAGCCATCCTACCCCAAGGGTGTAAAGATGCGTACAAACTTGAATGTACACTTTAGCTGTACATGTTCCCTAGGATGCTTCGATATAAATGTGACTGAATACCGCTTTCGCTTTTCTGTAGTCAGAATGATTTCTTTCTATATACACATTCATGTACAACTTTGATAGGCCATAGTAACCACTCCTTCCCTAAGATCAAGCCCCGGTGCCACGAACGTTTTATTTTTCTCAACTCAAATTTTAGTTTAACTCAAAGTGTTGACTCACCCGAGTTACGTCTCAAGAAAGTGTGCCGCGAAAGTTAAAGCAACACAACTCCGCTTTTTTATGATGTTAAGTAGCCTTGGCAATGTACATGTAAATAACAGAAAAAAATATTTATCATGAAAAACATGTTTTTCTTTTCTTTTTGGATCTACCTTAATAATGTAAATTCACATCGTTCTAACGCTTTTATTTTTGTGTTGATGGCGGCGCATACTTCGGAGCGTCTGTTTCATCAATAATCACGGGCAAGTTAATTTAAATATATAGTATGTGCATGTATAAAAAAAGAAGGGTAGGACACTATTGTTGAGGCAAATTCGGGTTTGGGGTATTGCGGGCCTTTCTCAGAAGAATTGACGCGATTAATCGTTCCCATATAACTTACTATCATATGTGTACCGTTTCGTTCCGCTCAAATGCCGTTCCTTCGAAAAAATAAGATGTTTTTATACCTCCAAGTGCCTAAGAATTTCGCTAGACTGCCTTACTTCCGGTTTATCCAAACTGAATAGAAAGGTAAGTTCAGATTGGTCAATGTCATACACATATGTTTTATACTGTACTAATATTCTTCATTATTTGTATAAATTAATTATGTAAAAGCTAAAATACATAAAATGCAACTAACTCTTCGACAAACGTTGAACATACCATGACAAATATATTGTTTCTCCCTTCATGTCTATCCAGCTGGCATCTAGTGACGGGAAAAAAATTATTATTGACCAATCAGAACTTACCTTTCTATTCAGTTTGGAGGGGCGGGTATTAAGGGAAAACATATTTTTAAAAAAGTCGTTTCGGACGCTGACGAATGCATTGGCCACTGCACGCCAACACTTCCCACAATGCACTCGGACACATTTAAGCTATCCCCAATAAGTTTGTGGAATGTCCCGGTAGCAAAAACGTAAACAAACCAAAAGTTGCAGAAGTGGAGGTAAGGCATTCTCCTCGCACTGTTTAAAAGATTTTTATCATTTTTCTGCAATAGGTGCATGATAGTAGGCCGCCTAAACCTGAAACGGTCATCTGTATAAATTTCAAATGGATTTGTCCTGTCTCATCATTTTCTTCGATGGCCGATTTCTATTATGCAAAAACCTTTCATATTTCCCACATGTACGTCTGCGACGTCTATCCGGCATTTTTGTTCTTTAGGAAAAGAACTACGAACGATAGTATTGTTCTCCCGCCTACCTCTAAGTCAATTCTCAAAAGTTAACATATTCGAATGATTTTCAAAAATTTTGTAGATATTTATATGAATTTTCATAAAACGTTACTTATTTGGGATACCAAAGAGAGATAACTCTCTAATTTTGGTAAAACTTGTGTTTTTCACTATAGAAATCAACGGAAAACGGAAAATATTTTTAAAATATCCCCCCCCCCCCCGTGAAACAAAAATTCCTTTTTACAGGTAATATGGACTGTCATTTTACAAATTTATGCCAAAGCCTTTTGTGTTTCACGGGGGGAACATATGTTTATAGACAAAAAACAAAAAAAAAATGCTGATTTTTCACCAATTTTAAAGCTATTTACAACTAAATAATTGTATTTTATTAATTTATTTCTGTTTTATTTATTTGCGTAAAACATAAGAAAAGATATGAGATACATTTTATCATATTTAAGACTATTTGAAAATATGATGATTCTTGAAAGTTCGATTTCACTAGAAAATATCGTCTACCCCCCTTTTTTCAAGAGCTGGAATTAATGATAATTTACTATATAGCACTGGAATTAAAATGATTAATCAATCACAATAGAACTGTTCTTTGCATTAAACAAAGATTTAATGACCAAATTGCCATTAATATTGAATTGAATGGGTGCAAAATGTAGGCGGGAATCAAGAGTTAGAGTTCGTAATTCTTTTAAGGTTACTTGAGAGCTACACTTAAACATTTGAGTATTTACTCAAAATTTTGTCGAGGAAAACCCAATTTTTGCGTGATGACTTGAGGGTGAGGTAAGGAATTTGAGGGAATACCTCAGAGTTGAGGCTGAGTATTGACTTGCGGAAAGTTAGTGACGACCAGTCTTCGCCAAAAGGAAAAATCGTCACAGGACATTTGGACAGACAGTATAAAACATTTCACATGACCGAGTGAATTTTCACCAGTACAAAACTTTTATCATTTTTAATGACCGACACTACTCAGATTCAATGAACTGATATCAGTTTTAAGAAAAACATAACACAAGTAACAGTTGCAGAATTCAATTTATCCCTCTCTAACGAATTCACACACTTTTGAGCAGTTTTTCTTCTGAAAAATAATCATCGAAATACTCATCCCTGTTTCATATGCAACTATTTCCTCCAAGATGTTTTCCTCATCGCCCTCGCTCTCATTCTCCTATTCACTTTCTCTCCAAGTCTCAGCTGTCTGAGATTCTTATTCTGCTCCACGTGGTCTGCATCTTTCCTTATACGCTAGTTCGTCTTTTTCTGACTATCTGATTCTGAAATAAAAAGATTTACTTATCACATGTATATGACACAATTTGTATAAATGTCTTAATATTCGTAAATGCTATAAAGGTTACCATCCAAATGTGAAGTCCTGGACATCAGCTGACTCTAACTAAACCAAGAGCAAATTGCTCAGGGTAGACCCTCTCATCCATGTCCTTCTGCAGGTTTTTATCAGTTTCATATGTGAGAAGGTAGTCTCACATCGCACACTGGTTGGCGGTATGCATAAGTGGATGTCCGCAACATTCATTACAAGGGGAAAGTCTGGATCATAAATCTCCACCCACGTGGAACTGTGAAGTCTGTTCCCATGCCTATTAATTTTAAAATTAAGAGATTTGATTAAGACGTGCAATTCATCACTTTAACAGTATCCAGAGGAAATGATTTCATTCATTTAATATACCTTTTGAACATGACTCGTTTCATCAGCTGCCATTCAGACAATAAGGCCTCCGTCAAGAATTCAGGATTAGCGTTTCTCAAAGTATTGTCAAAATGCCCACTTGCGGTTTTCATCTCTTCATTTCCATAATCTGTAATAATAATAAATATTATGATAGTTATAATTATTTAAAGTTTATTTAATCAAATATACTCAGCCTGTTTCATGCAAATTTCATTCAACATAATTTAATTTATTATCATACATGAAAAAAAAATCTTTCAATCATTGAATTTGATGTTTTTGACTTCTTAAATTTATAATTCAAATCTTCTTTATTTCATACCAAAATTGTCTACTTAGGATATAATGCGTACTATCAACATAAAAACGGTCTGTCAGTGTCACATCAACAACACTAGTTCAATCTGAAAACAACAATAAGTCAATGCATGAACATCAAGTAATCAACAATCAATACAACTTATTAGAAAAATATTTAATATTAACAATGTTTAATAAATTGCAAAAATAAATAAAAATTTTGGAGCAAACACTTGAGTAAGTATTTTAGTAAATAAGTATTCAATTGAAAATAAGTATCAGAAGATAAATTAATAACAAATAAATATGTACCTGCTAACAACGACTCGACACTAGGCCAATTCTTTAATTGGGTTATCCGGGTGCACTTGAGGACTTCACTCTGGTCAATCCTCTGACGCAATGAATTTTGAAAACCGTCCAATGTCAAGGTGATGTATGACAAGGTAGCATTTCCTCGTAGCTTGATGCCCTTGTATTCCCCCTTTTCCAGAACTTCTCTTGCTTGAGTAAACTCGCTGCAAACGTACAATAAAGCTAAGGAACACTGGATCAATATTACACATATAAGATAGATATTATAATTTATAATTTCAAATTATACTATATGTATAGAATTCCATACCTCATTTTCAAGTTTTCAATGATACCCATTGTTCCGTGTACCCATTCCAAACTTTCTGCTAAACTTGAATTAGGTCTCTAGAGTTTAAACTCAGGGTCATCAAAGGGAGAAGGGCTTCCTAATTTAATAAAACGAAAACAAGATAGAAAATCTTCAAATTGACAACCCTGAATTGCATTTCTTATTCTATACACCACACAGAGCTATTTACCTATAGAAAAAGTGTAAAGCAGACAAGATCTTTGGATAACAGCATTTTCAAATAGTCCTCTGCCTTTGGATTGGAATGACCTGAGTGTAGACAATTGTGCCTTATATGCCAGGTAGATCCGCAGCAGTGACTTTATTCTTCGACTAAGATGAGCGAGCCAGCGAGTACCAGTGACTTTAGTAGGAAGGAGTCCATCCCCTATCGCCTCGATGGGAAAATCGATTTTATGAAGCGAAAGTGGTCAGAGTGGTGGAAGGTAAGGTACCTTACAATGTATGAATGAACATGATACATATCATTATACAAAGACTAATGCCTTGTTCACACGGAGAGTTCCATTGTTCATACCAGATATCTCAAAGTCAAACATTAACAAAAGTATGCTGATTTCTCTCCATATTTCCCAAAACTGTAGGCTGTAATGTCTTTATATACAGACGATATGATTTGTTTAGACGTCGCGCACGGTATTGGGTGTCTTAATTGCGTAATTTGTAACACTTGAAGAAGAGCGCTTATAGTTTTTTGTCATTTTTCGCATTTTGTCTGCACGTATTTTCCCGAAATTTTGCACATCGCTTCTATGACGTCATATGATGATGTCAATAAAAAATTCATTTCAATAAAATCAGAAAATGGCAGTTTATGGGCGTCCGTAGAAGCGGTCAAATTTTGTAACATGTTGTGATTTAAAGACAAAATCAGACAAAATGGAATATTTGGTAAGGCATTTTGATTATTTTTCATTAAAAAAAATAAAATTTAAGTGAAATATGGAATGTGCAAATATTCAAGAAAACAAATGATTCTTTTAAAAGACATATGTCCTTATTTTATGATATTAGTCAAAAGATTTTGATGTCTAGTCAGTTTTGTTACTTTGGTACAAATTACGTTATTATGATAGTTTACGAGAATATACCCCGGAGAAAAGGCTTTATAATTTTCTTAATAGATAACTTTTAATAGCTACAATCTCATTTTCAAAATGTGCAAGCTAACAAAAATACATGATTAAAAATTCAAGATAAATAGAATTCATGCGAAAAAAAGAGACCAAAATTACGATGTCTAGTCTGTTTTGTTACGCATTTAATTTCAACGTTTTTCAGCAAAGTAGAATATAACGTCAAAAATAATTTTTTGCGCATTTGCCTTTTCAAGGAAACGAATTCAACCCTTTCGTCAACAGAAAGAATAAAAATTAATAAAGATAAGAAAAAAGAGAAAAGAAGAGAACAGAAACGTAGGAGTTATAAAATACATCAATACAGAAAAAGTCCCAAATCTACCAAAACCTATAGTAAGACTGAAAGTGCTATTAAACAGAGAGCATACAATGAAAGAAAAAAGCAAGAAAAAGTTCAAGAAAAAAGAAATAAAACGAAAGAGAAGAGAATATATGAAAATGTACAGACAACGGACAAGACTACACGATGCTTCTAATGACGAAGAACAACTTTTTTCTAACAGGATGGAAAAGGCTAGGTATTAATTCAAAAATAAATCTCTAAATTTACTCAATTGATATTGTTATACACAGAAGGGAAATAGGGGCCGTTTTTAAAATACAAAATTTTTAACGCAAATTTTTAGTTTAAAAAATAAAACGATTTTAAAAATAAAGTTTTTTACAAAGATTGTGAATAAGCATACATGTATATACATGTGCAAACGGAATTATCAATACCTAGGAGGGGGGGGGGGGGGGGTTCGGTCTTCGCTTGCCCCCTTCCCGCAAGTATCCACGACCTTAGATATGTACACGTATAAATATTATACTTTAATGACATATATTTATTTTGAAAATTGTTAATTTTAGCCCTTCTAAAAGAGATCATAATTAAATCATTAGATATTGATTGAGGTTTTCTGTTTGCAAATATATATACCTTATCTATTTTTAGAACAATAAAAAGACTTAAGGAAGCTCTACCAAAAAATTCGAGCAAACGTGCAGCTGTAATTTCCGCTTATATAGATAAAAAAAAGAGTGTCAAAGTCACCAGCGGTTGAAAAATTTCACTCTTCACTCAACGACAGTTTAGAGAAATCTGCCCTAGAAAATGTTAAAGAAATCATCTCTACCGTAAAACAAAAAAGAAATAAAGATGCAACCGCAAGTTTGAAAATTCTGACATCTGCCGTAAATGGACAGAATTTGTCAAATAAAAAAGGAGCTGTTAAAAATCTGGCAGACAAGCTAGGCGTCAAAACCAAAACGATACTTAAAGGTCAAAGGACAAGAGCACAAGTGTTACACTCTGAACATTCGTCGTTTCTTTATACCGCTCGAAAAACAAGGTCTGATTCCTTAACCGAGGATACCAAGAAAATTGTCTTTAACTTCTGGCTACAGGAAAGTAATAGTAGGCCGACGAATAATAAAAACGACATTAAGAGAGTTCGACTTGGTCCGAGACTATATTCGTCACACCCGTGCCATATATTGGAAAAGACTCAGACTGAAGTTTTTCAAGACTTCCAAGAAATACATCCCGAAATTAAGATAGGACAAAGGGCATTTGAAAAATGCAAACCCTATTTCGTACGCACAGCGCGCTTCAAAGATAAATTAACTTGCTGTTGTCGTCAACATGTTGAAATGCGCTCTTTATTTAAAAACTGTATGCAGTTTCGCAAAAAAGTGTTGGCAGGACAAGCTACATGTAATAGTCAAGTTAAAGTATACACATCATTGTCCGAGTTAGTAGATGATACTTTATGTCCCAAATCAGCTAATACCCATCAGCATAAAATGTCGTGTTTAAATCGCGAATGCGATGAATGTGGTGTTGAAAAATTATTTTTTCTACCAGAGGAGTTAGATCAAAGTGACACTCAGGTATCGTGGGAAAGATATGAGTACAAAGATGTGAAAGTAAAAGGAGAAAAGATTATCAAAAAACTAATTCTCATAAAAAAGTTAACATCACCGAACGAGATGTTTCAATACTTCAAACAAATAATGGAAACATTTCCTGCGCATCAGTACCGTGCATATTGGCAGTCAAAGCAAATGAAATCCTTGGTAAATAATTTACCCTTTGGTCACTGTGTCGCTATTCACGACTTTTCAGAAAATTATAGATGCACAGAAAAGTGCGAGATTCAGTCGTCCTATTTTCAAAAACAAGAAGTGTCTATACATGTAACGATTGTTCATCGACATTCTGTTTTGGAATATGACGGGAAAGACAGTTCAGAAAACGATCCAAATATTGTGACTGAACATTTCATTGTTATAAGTCCAGACCAAAAGCATGACCATCACTTTACAAATAATGTACAAAAGTTACTTGCGGAATATTTACGATCTATATCGTGATGTGTCCGTGATGCATGAATTCACTGATGGGTGCAGTGCCCAATATAAAAGTCGCCATTGCATGGGAGACATATCCTATTCATGCTCTGACTTTGGATATTCAAAAGTTATCAGAAATTATTTTGAAACCTCTCATGCACGGGGGCCTCAAGATGCTGCGGGTGGTTACGTAAAAGAACAAGCAGATTTATCCGTTATTCGTGGATCTCAAGTAATCCAAAGTGCGCAAGATTTCTTTGAGTTTGCTCAAAGTAATCTATCTCGTACAACCGATACATCTAAATGTTCACGTCGGATATTAATAGGTACATCAACTCTGAAGACAGGGACCGAGATAGGTATTTCCAACCAGTCAAAGACAATAGAAAAATTCATCAAATTTGTTCATCAATAAACGGTAAACTTCAAACTCGAAAATTATCTTGTTATTCTTGTGACAGCTGCGTTATTGGTGATTACAATGAGTGTTTGAACAATGATCAACTTGGGCAGTTTTCGACAATAACAATGAAAAAACAAACAGACCATGAAAACGATGAAAGCGAAACTGATGAAACTGATGATTTAGATATTGTCGAACTGATTTCTACAGATACAATTTTTGCTGTGAAAGCAGATGATATAAATTATCCGTACTACATCTTAAAAGCATCGAAAAAACCAGTTGTCTTGCGAAAATGTGTAACCGACAAGTGGGGAATGTCGTTTCCGGAAGGAAGCAGAGTAGAAAATGGATACTATTTTGGTGTTCAAAATGAAAATCCTTTAGAACAGAAACTAATATGAAGAATACCAGCTATAGTGCCTGCACAATCAGTCATATACATATGTTCTGAACTTGAAATTGATGACGATGGCGTTATACATATTGAGGAATTGCTTCATGAGCGAATTTTAAGATGTTTAGAAGAAACAATGTAAAGGAAAATTACTTCGCGTCTGCTTCAGATCTGTATTTTGTAATGATACTGACAATACATGTATAAAAGTTATAAAATACATAGCTGAAAAATTTAAACACAATAAACTGATTTCATGTATATGTGTTTTGTATAAATTAAAGTCATAAAATACTCAAGTCTGTAACGTCAATATTTAGCGTTTTAAAATAACGTTATTTTGACGTTACACAAAAATACCGTGCGCGACGTCTTAGCATTAAGGGTGATAATAAGTGACCAATTGTCCTACATTCTCAATCAGGAAAACCATAATTGCATCCAAGTCAGCTTGGGTATGTGAAAACACTGAATTATCAATGTTTAGGCTGTTTAAAGTTAATTCTACGTTTAACGTCACATCTAAAGTTCAAAACCTACGAGGGAGAGAGGAAAAAAATAAACAAACAAAATTTTCAAACAATTGTGAATTTATTCAAATTAACCTATACAGTACATTAAAAACATTACAATTAATATGAGCATTTAATTGATATGACACCTAAGATTAATTTTCCTAGCAGAGTTTTTCCTTGTAAGTAAATCAGTTTGAGTCCCTTTGTTAGCAAAAAATGTAGTCTATGACTGAATGTGCAGGAAAGTGGCTTTTAACTAGGCCTCAGTTGTCCTTTGGATTTATATTGCCACACGTCCATGGTACCCTGGAGGCAAATGCTTCTTCTTGTGGGAGTAGTTGCTCAATATCTACAATTAAAATTATTGATGACAATATTTAAAACTGTTCATGTTGAAATATCCTCAAATTGAATTATGTCGTATTTTTTCTTAGTACTAGATCTACTAGCATTAAGTTTTGAAAGTGTGAATACTAATATATATTTGGACCATACTGATAGCTGTTAGATTATCTTTAATACCTTGAATTCCACACAAAGGACAGGATTCTTCACGTCTTGGAATACCTCAAACCACTTTCCTTACTCTCCTTCACTTGAAAGGCTCTATCTTCGGTAAGCTTCTCCCTGCTCAAATGGTTAAGACAAGTATTATCTTTTCCAAAAATTGTAGCTATTTGTACTGGTACATGAATTATGAAGAAATAAATTATCTTACTCATTACTGTTCCTTTCGATTTTTACAGAAATATTTCTTTTAATATTAAAGCTGACATGAACTCTTAAAAAGGCATCAGTTTTCATCTTTGTACGACTTACTACATTCCTGTACGCCCTTGTCCGCCATATTTCTTCGATTCCGCCATATTTAATCGAAGATTTTTGGCCACCTGTACCTGCTATATATAGCCTAGTAGAATTGTTTCACTTGAGTGATTTTCTAGCCTGACTGTCGACATGTACACATCTCCGATAGCAAAGTTGTCAAAAATCCATAAACTGACCAAAAACATGTTTTAAAAGTTAAAAAATCCAACAAAAACTATAACAAAACTGAGAAGTGAATAATTTTTGAATGCATTTGCTGCAATTTAGAAAAAAAATAACACGGAAAACAGCAAAAACCGTTTGGATATGCACGCATGCAGGTCGAGAATATGCATCGAACGCAGTGATAAAGATATTTACCTGAATACTGCTATCGTTACAGGGATGTGCACATGTCTAAAGAAATATCCTATTTTACTTTTATTGAAATATGCATCTCAGAAGTCATGTAATCCATTGCTAGCTGAACAGTAAATAATTTTCATCACATAGCACTTGGACGCACGTTGTCCACGACGATCAGTCTATTTGTTCAGGGGAAATTTCAAAGGTGGAAAGCTTACTGGTATTTGGTTGATTGAAAAAACGCAAATAATTTTTTCAATCAACCAAATATTACTCTTGTATGTATATGTAAATGTAAACAAGTTTTAAAAACTTGGCTTAACTACATTACATTTATTTCATAGCGAGCAACATTACAAATCATTCACCCTTTGACTAGATTCTCTCGTGAAAGGGGGGGGGTAATAAAAATTGCATAACGCTCTCTGAAAAAGATCGGATTTTATTACGATCAAATATTTTCATTATAAAAACTTTGTATTGGCTTTATTTTTTTTTTTTAAATATAGACCTAATATAACTTGATTTAAACTTATTTTATAATTTTTTACACAATAAACGAGCTTGATGCTGTGGTACATGAATGATCGAAATAGAATTCATTGGCGGATCCAGAGGTGGGGTGGGGTTCCGGGGATTGGACCCCCTTTATTTTTGCACATACATACACAGAGAGAAAGAGAGAGAATGTTTTTTTCTGCAATATAAAAGATAGATATAATTTGAAAAAAAAAATCTCCTTTGTCCTGTCTGTTCGCTAGATCTGTAGATTTTCGCGGATTTGCTTTCCTCTTTGTACCTTCAATCATTTTTCAGTCATTTATTTGAATCTCTTCACCATTTTACAACAGTATACAGAGATCACAAAATATATAGGTGATTTTATACATAACAGTAGATCTATAAAGCATGCGTGAATAAGAAACTAAACAAAAAATTGTACGTTGCTATAAATGTGAAGTATGGGAATTTAGGCCGGGGCATATTTTATTTTTTTTCTTTATAAAAGAGCACAATTTTCACAGAAAACAGTATCTATTGTTACTCATAATGTGTCAAGAATTAATTACATTCTGAAATTTTATGCTTTTTTCTGTTAAGCATAGCATTCTTTCTGAAAGTAACGAGCTGCACTTTAGTATGTATTGAAACTCATCTCCAAGTTCTTTTATCTTGTCTTGGTAACCCTGGCTAAGGGCTCCGATCACCCACCAGTAACATGCAAGGTAGATTCCAGCGAACTTTGGCTATACCATTTTTGAACACCTCAGAAGTAACTAACTTTTAGAAGTATACATGAAATATACATGGAATATTTCGTTTCAGTGAAGATAAAGGTTTAAAATGTTCCCGTAGTATGCAAATGGAGGGGGCTTTTTTTATGATAATCTTTTGCTGCAGTTTTAAATAATATTTTGATTTGGAAGCTCCCTCCACATTTTTTGTTGCCGGAAAATGCGCAGATTCAAGCATTTTTAAAAGTAATGTACCGAACAAAAAAGTTACAGGAAGCCCCCCTAAAAAAAATGGATATTAGAGTGTGATACATAGGGTTTTTTTAAAAGTTTTTTTGTGTTTGTTTGTTTGTTTGTTTATTTTTTTTTTTTTGCTTGTCAACTGAATTTGGAGGTCCCCCGTCAATACAAATTGAAGTGGCTGTGGTGTGATTCTAGGCATGAGTGTCATGCGCGGATCTATTGCGGGGTCAGGACCACCCCCACCCCCCGGGCTGTGCAAGGTGATGAAATTTGTATACTAAAGCAAGGAAAAAAGTTTACGTTGGACCCCCCTCGGAAAACGCCGACTCCCTGGTAAATGCGAATTTATGTTAAATTGGATGAAAAGTCTAAGGTTCGAAGCTTATTTATACAATGTTTGTTTTGTTCTGTTTGTGTATGTATAACTGTAATGATTTTGTACATTGTTCTATATGCACCACTGTGGGCCGAAATTGATTGAATAAATAGTCTAACTCTAATTCTAATCAGAAGTCATCGACTCCCCCCCCCCACCCCCCACGAAATAAGTTATTGAAGTCTGGGCGAGTTTACGAGTCTGTTTTTTATTTATTTTTTTTTTTGCTTGTCAAGAAATTTCTGGGTTAGATTTTTTATTTGGAACTGAGGTGGACCCCTCCCCCCCCCGGAAAAAAATTGTTGGATCTGCGCCTGAGTGCTGAGGGCACCGACCTGGAATCCCCCCTTTCTAAAAATGGCTGGATCCGCCAATTAAATGTGCGTTATATTTCTTGACATAAAATGTTAATAGTCGAAGCATATAGGAAGGGATAGCAAACTGCCGATGAGAGTCCCACATTCTTCCAAAAATTAGCTTTTTATACCTCTTGTCTTAATTATTTTTGTCCAGATTCCTTACCTGAGCTAGAAGGTATTTGAGAAAGTTCCCAATGTTCCCATTCCTTTGATGTAGATTTGACGTTTATTTCCCTTTTAATTTCGGCGTTTAGGTTTATTTTTCTTGTCAAAAGTAAAATTATTATTTCAATTTTTGAACAAGTTTCGACATCCCCGCCTGAAAAAAATTCTTGATCTGTCCCAGGATCTAATAAATGGTACAGCACAAAATGCATATGATTTTATATCTCTTATTGCGCTTACGGATGGTTACAGGAGAATAAAGAGAGTTCAATGAATAAAATAGTGATTAAAAATTATCTGTATTCAACCAGGTTTCAAGTATCCCTATCCTACTTTTTAAAAACATCTCCCAAATATTGCAACAGAAATTATTTTTATTTTTAAAAAAGCTAGACTTTCAGACAGGGATACTGAAATCTCGAAAGACTTTCTGTAATAATCATAAAACAGCCACATTCCTCAAAAATGCACATACTTTGTGGTCGGAGTGAGGCAATAAAAAATCTCGAAAAATGGAATTGGCAGAGATGTCTGTCTTCCAAGACTATTTAGGTAACGGTCATGTTAATTATTTCTGCCCCCCCCCCCTTAAAAATACAAATGCCTAAATGTCAATCTAAACAAGGGATGTTTTTTTTTGCGTGTGTGTTAAAGAACGAACAAATGTACACGTAAAATTTTGTATTCTGGTTAAATGCTTTTAAGTCTTGAACTAAATAATTACCGTATATCAAATTACTTGGTTTAGATTTGAGATTAGTACTAAAATAATCAGTTGTAATTGACAAATGAATTTTGCGATGCAAAACAACTGCAGACTATATATAGAATGTTTATTAGAACTAGATAAACAATTTTCAGTTGTACCCTATAAAGTCGTTATAATTATACTTTAGCCCCCCCCCCCTTTCAGCTGCGCAAATACCAAATAACTTCTCTTTTCCACTTGTGATATTTTCCCTGACCAAAATCTGATCAGCACGGACTAAGTGTTTTGATGTGCTAGGCTGAACGGAGTAGTCACAGTGTGTTTACTTTTGATTTTTTATGGAGTTTATTTCTTTTTTGTGTTGCATTTTTCAATAAATGGAATTCAGGGTGTATATCACTTGACTTGTGTGCACATCTTCGAACCGATGCAGAGTTCTTATTACCAGGTATGGGTACGTTTACAGCGTTCGACGCGTTTTCTCGATATGCATCAAAGTTTGCATAAAACCTGCAAATCAAAGACACTGGTTGTTTTGTTCTATTCAAATGATAGTAATTTCAGAGTGTGTTTACGCGTTTTAGTGCTTTTTATTTCATGTTTATTCTGCATAAATTGGCGCAGTGTAAAAATGCGTACTCGTGCAACTAAAACTTTCTTTCAAACTTGCATTTTCTTTCTTTTTTTAATTACATTTGATTCAAATCAATAATTATTCAGAAATATGATTATTATGTTTATTGTGGTTTTGAAATGTCTTGATCTCCTCATGTGTTCTCATATGCTTTACCATCGGAGATGTGCACAAGTCGATACCCAAACCAAAAAATCATTCAATTGTAACGAGCGCATTGGGGTATATATCGTTACAATGAGACAAGGTATCTGAAAGAAATATGGCGGAATACGACTATAGTTGGTATAAAACAAGTCGTACATAGATGAAAATGTTGCGTTTTTAAGAATTCATGTCAGCTTTAAATAAGATTTAAATGATGTTTTTCACTGTATATAAATATTGGTTTTTGACACACTTTCCACTCAGTAAAAAAGTTTTTCGATTCTCTCCAAAGTACAATGAAAAGTTCAGCCAATAAGAGTCTGTCAGTCTGTACATGTGATTCGAAGACTGACAAAAAATAAAAAACTAGACTTTGTCATTAACTTCAATCATAAAATCATCTATTTTTTACTTACATTTATGGTTCCAAGCTCTTTAATTCACTAGTTTTCTTTAATAAGACACCAACTGCCTTTACTGCGGCTATCAAAGCACATTTTCTGTCACTACGGGAAGCAGAATTTAGTCGCTAATTGTAGAACAAAACCGGAACGGACATACGGAATTCCGAATTGTTTGTTTTTTTCAAAGACGAATTTCTCATAAACCTACGCGCGCGGGTGACGTTAAACATAGTTTTAATTTTAGACAGCCTTATGCAAAAAATTCTTTTTTTCTGAAATGAATTTTTAACAAAATTAGGTTCAAATTAATATAAATTTTATTTTCCGACCAACCGATTACAGATTTTCTAACCGATTGCCATCTTCCGACTGAGTAATCAGTTAACCAATTAGAAATTGCCATTCGTAGTAAAAAGGTTGTACTTCTTAAATAATCATGATTGGTTATCAAGAACTATGTCATGAGCGTAATGCTTGCTCATCAAACAATTTATGTTTAATAACAGGGACTAATGTGCCAAGTACATGTACTACAAGTGAGCCAAAGACAAAAAAGAAGAGAAAAACTCAGGAGCAAGAAATAAGGTACTACTTCAACTGATTCAACTTTAATTACCATTTCCTTCAGTTTTTTAAAAACAATTTACTTTTGTAAACTGAGATGTTGGAATGCTATAAATGTAAGTTGAGTGTAAAGGGGAACATTTTACAATCACTTTATACTTAAAACAGCTATCAGATGTCATTGCTCAGAAGAAGAAGCATTTTCATATCAAGAAAATATTGGCAATTCATTTCTTAAATTATAATAAATTTCCTATTCCATTTTAGACAGCCCACGAAGAAGAGAAAGAAAGTGGTGTCCAGCAAAATAGCAACGGTAAGTAATTACCAATAGATATCTTCATAGATTAAATCATGAATTCATAGAAATAAATAGCTGCTGAATTAAAGCTCTTTGGGGAACAAATACAGACCAGAGAGCTTCAGTACCACCATAGAAAAAATGGGTGTAAATTATAATTATTTATTGTGCTCAATTCTGGATTTACTTTTCTAATTTTATTTTTTACCTCAACTGCACAAAAGCTCAATTTTAAAAATAATCAATAGACCTTTATCAAAACTCACACTTTTGACAAATGCACAAGGTACATTAGACAGAATTGTATTTCCATCCATACTGGCAGTATAAACTGTTTTCGATTGGTGTCAATTTCAGGCCCCTATTAACAATGGATACAGGAAATGTTTTGATATGGAAATTAATAGTGAAAGAATATACATGATTAGTAATATTTTGCATTTGGACAGGTTAAGCTTATGTCAGATGATCTCTTCCATTTGCATTTAATATCCAATGGTCCATTTCACAACAAATCATACAATGAAGAAAAAATATTATTTTCCCATTCGTCAACAAGTATCTAAGCTGTAGAAGGACATAAAAAATAATTTTCAATGCACTGCACAGTCCTAATAGAATATTGCATTACTCAAGTAGTATTTCCCTATTCCTTCAGGATGCAACCCTTATAGCAGTTGCAGAGAGCTTAATGATGTCAGAGCTGCAACCTACACCACAAAAGTCAACTACGCTTCCGGCACCACAACCGTCAGCCAGCTCATTCGCATCACAAGCAGTTGCTGAAAGTTTAGTGATGACTAAGCTGCAATCTACACCACAAGAGTCAACTACGCTTCCGGCACCACAACCGTCAGCCAGGTCATTGGCATCACAAGCAGTTGCTGAAAGTTTAGTTATGACAAATCTGCAACCTACACCACAAGAGTCAACTACGCTTCCGGCACCACAACCGTCAGCCAGCTCATTCGCATCACAAACAGTTGCTGAAAGTTTAGTGATGACAAAGCTGCAATCTAACCACAAGAGTCAACTACGCTTCCCGCACCACAACCGCCAGCCAGCTCATTCGCATCACAAGCAGTTGCTGAAAGTTTAGTGATGACTAAGCTGCAACCTACACCACAAGAGTCAACAAGAGCACCACAACCCTCAGGCAGCTCATTGGCATCACAAGCAGTTGCTGAAAGTTTAGTGATGACAAAGCTGCAACCTACACCACAAGAGTCAACTACGCTTCCGGCACCACAACCCTCAGCCAGCTCATTTACACCATGGACACCATCTACACCACAACCCTCAGCCAGCTCATTCACACCATGGACACCATCTACACCACAACCCTCAGTCAGCTCATTCACACCATGGACACCATCTACACCACAACCCTCAGCCAGCTCATTTACACCATGGGCACCGGTAACAGTGTCACAGTCTTCCAATTTATTTACATCCGTTTTGTATGGAAACAATGACCAACTGAGCTGCAGGAGATGCAGACAAATAGAAGCTGCTGTCTGGCAGCTACAGTCTGCAATTGAAATTGCCAGTGTAAGTATTAAAGTATTGAAATACATGTACTTGAACTAAAGTGAGTGATATTAAATTTAAAACAAAACTTGATCTGAGCTAGCATAATATTAATATGTTTAAGGTTTGAGTAGGATATCAGTAATTTATCACATGTCTATGTATTACAGATTCTGATTTTTCTGACAGATCTGCTTAACATAAGTTTGTTTTCAAATTTGTTTTATTTTATTGGTTTGTGAGTGGGGGGGGGGGTGTTAAGATTACTGCTGTGTCAACAAACAAGTATCAGATAAATATGAATATGTTTTTAACTAAAAATGTTTTGAAATTGGACCATAGGTATCTTTAACAGATGTTTTCATATTTTATTGCACTTGTTTTAGATGAAAAATGTAACCAGCATCATTGATCCATTTTATGTCATTGTATATACAGGGTGTTTCACAATATATGTCACACATCTAAAGACATATAAATAAATGACAACAAAAGCTATATATACATTTGATATATCATTTTAATCAGCATATATTCAAAACTATTTTTTTGAGTCAGAAGCATCCAACGTTCTCAACTTCAGTTACTATGGCAACAAATCCTAAAATGATATTTTCCAAGTGTTTCCCCAACATTGTCCTAAATAACTTAAGAGACTAATGGTTAGAAATTTCTGACCACTGTTTTGCAACGCTTCACAGGATACTCGAGACTTTTCTCGTTTTATATCTGGCTTTTTAGAACCCACAAATTTCATATCTTTTTTTATTTAAAAGTTGTATTTAATAAATGTTTCAGAACTACAGTTATGTGTAAACTAGTGTCCACTTCTTTCGCTCTTCCTTTCTGTCAATCTTGCAAACTATAACCGACTCTGAACGTCAATTAGTTTTAATAGGTGAAATCTTGTATGCAGACACAGTTAACTTAAATTTAAGATTTCTAAATACACCTGATACAGTTACTGGCATTGTTACCATCCATTTCCCTAAACTCAGATATAACTTTCATGAGGTTTTCTCAATGATTGACTTCACTTTGATATTCTTCTCATCTCGTCTTGATTTTTTTTGGGAGGGGGGGGGGGGCAGGATTTAACTGTCTTTCATCTTTACATTATAATTTATTTCAAACTCTTTAATTATTCTTAATATTTGAAAACTATACGATATTTCTGGTCTGGATATTTTTCATCATCATCTCCTGTACAATATTTAGGATATCGTTCTCATAATAAAAGTTTACAACAAATTTTTGCTGCAAGTTGTACTCCATTTTGAAAACATCTGAAATTATGATATCACTGATTATATCATCCGTTACTTCATGGTATATCATAATTTTCCCGATACTTTGCAATATCATAATTTTAGATCAATATGCTTACCTATAGTGTTTTGGTATTTTTGATATCATGCTCGATATTCAGATTACTCCCGTTTAGATGTGTGACATATATTGTGAAACACCCTGTATGTATGCGTGTACTTCATATGTTTATATAAATGCAGCATGCTTTAAGAACAGACCTATTGCCTAACAGCCTCTTTGAATTCTCATTCACACTGAATCACTTGTCTTTCCTTTCATAAATTCTACAGACAAATCTGTATGACGATCATGTAGAAACTGTCCAACCAGAACCCATGCAAGCAGATACTCTCCTGGAGTCATTACCATCAAGACCTGTTAGCCAGACCCAGACAAATGTATACAATGGAAAGACGAAAGTTAATTTTTACTTGAAGCCAATAGTTTGTAAAATATTATGTATTGAAAGTGAGAATATAGATAAAATTACATTTGGCACAAGAAAATTTTTTTTTATGATTGCATTATAACATACAAACATTATCCAGTTATATTGTACGTCTAGTTATTTATTTATTTATTTTTTTTCATGTGAAATTCTTAATCTTAACAGGAACAGTTACAAGCTGTACGGGATAAATATTCCTACATGGGAAAAGCTTCTAAGGCCCTTTTGCTGGTAATGTTTTCCAAACAAGAATTGGAAGGGCGGTCAGTTACTGGAAAGGGGCCGAAAGGGATGGCTGCCCGGCCAGCCATTGCTGATGCAACTAGGCTGGAGGTTTTATACGGTGAGTTTTGTTCTAAGTTACATCCTTTAATACAATATCTTAATTACAAGTGTAGCATCTTCAATAAATACAAGTCAGATGAAGCATTCATATCCGTTTCATTTCTGACATTTGCAATATGTTAAATTGAAGTGCCATTTTGGCCCATTTGTTTTGAAGTCAAATTTGATGCTGCATGATTGTCATGATTATGCAGTGTTTAAATAAACAATTTTTTCAATAAAGTTTATTAAGTGTTTATAATCTAGGAATTTGTATTTCAGAACTTATACAAGAGCGTTGGCCAAATGAAAAAAAAAACTAATATCAATGGCGAAATTTTAAAGCCGTCTGCAGGAGGAGTGAAGAAAAAATAATACTAAAATTGTCTTTTCTAGTAGAAAGTTCAGTTAGACTGTAGCATTGTTAAGCATACATGAATAATTTAATGAACGAAGTTTATTATGTGTATCACAAAGTTTATAATATGTATCAAAACCAGTTGAGAAATGTTTGTTGTATTAATCAAGCATTTGATATTATTAATACATGTTAATGTTTTGAGTGCCAAGTCTCATAAGATGGCTGTTTCAAAGAATTGATGTATTAAATAATTAGTGATCGAGATGTTCAGTTAGACTGTAGCATTGTTAAGCATATATGAATAATTTAATGAACGAAGTTTATTATGTGTATCACAAAGTTTATAATATGTATCAAAACCAGTTGAGAAATGTTTGTTGTATTGTTTGTTATAATTAAAATTGTTATTGTTTACTCATTCAGAATTGATAAATATAATCAAGCATATGTTATTGTTAATACATGTCAATGTTTTCATAACATATTTTTTTTAAAAATTCAATGTAGTAACACAAATGGTTTTTTTTAATAATAAATTTATTATATACAAAAGTTCAAACAAATGTAATTCGTGATGATAAACTTTAACGATGCGAATTATTAATAATTTAATTGTGTTTGATAGTTTTCATATTGCAAAAAGGTTTTTAAATGTATTTAAATGAAATATAGTTTTGTGACGATAAACTTCTGTGACAAATTATTAGTATTTGTTAATCTTTTCGTAATATTAAAGGGTTAAAGACAAAATATACTGTAGTTTTATATAGCTTGGCTTAGTACTTTTTAGGACATGTGACTTTTGTTAGAAGACACATCAGTATTTCTGTATTTATTTTAAAGATTTCCGTATTTCCCAATTTTTAACCACCCATGTAAATGCCTATGGGTTTTTTTTCCGTATTTCCAGATTTCCATATTTCCTCATTTCTAACCTCTGTATCAGTTCCGTATACTCCAATCTAGAATGCTGAAATTAGTCCAAATACTCCCGTCCGCATTTTCTCCATATTTTGAATATGGAGAAAATGTGGAAATTTTAGGTGCAAATTACCTCCGTATTTTATCTATATTTCCAGATCCGTATTCTCCAATTCATTATGAATGCGGAAATCATAGTCCAAATACTCTGTATTTTATTACTAAGTATGTAATAAATATAATAAAACATACCCTTTTCCACATCACATCCTGTATCAGCCCTCGACCAATATCAGCCTTCGGCCCTCTGGCTGATATTGGTGTCTCGGGCTGATACAGGATGTGATATGGAAAAGGGTATGTATTATTCTCTATATAATACTTTTGTATTATAATACTTTCTTGTACACACGCTAATACATATCTTATAAGATTGTAAATAAACTATTATTCCCACGTGTTTTTTCCTGCCATATTTCTCTCTCTGTCAAAATAATAAAAACGATGATAATAAGCTCTGCTTCTAGCATCTTTTTTTGTGGTAGCTACAGCTTGCTATATTCCACAGGTTCTCTTCCCCTTCCCATAAAACCACGAGTTTTTCGATATCTTTACTCGAAAAGTCTGCCATTATTATTTACCATGTGCTTTATTTAGTAATGATATAAATAGGATGACCCCCCATGTGAGTACATTTGATTGGTTGAAAGTGAAAGGTGAGTTAAGACTTGTATTAGGAAATAGAGCATTGCTCTATTCTTAATACAGTTTTATAAGATTCGAAAAATCTTATGATACACTGTATTAAGCGTGTATACACAGTAAGATTTTGTATTATAATACAAATCTTATAATACAAATCTTATAATACAAATCTTACCGTGTATACCGGCCTTAAGATAAACAATTCTGTGTATCGGTTTTTGACTTTGATGAACATTATTGCCTTGGTTACTAAAAATAGAAATTTCGGTTAAATACTCAAAATGCTACTCCAAAGACAGTTTTAGTTTGATCATAATATAATGTGGCATGCAAGTAGACTACAATAAGAACATAATGAGGCTTAGTCAAGGATTATTATTCTATTTATTGCTGTTGTAAAGTTTCTCTTCCTTTGCTATAAGTAACCAGAAGTCTCTGTGGAGACTGAAGCTCTACTGGTTTGTACTTATAGCAAAGGAAGAGAGAAGTTCTTAAGCAGTTGGGAATTGAAACTTTACCACAGCAATAAAAAGAATAATGATCCTTGATTAAGTCTCTTTATGTTCTTAGTATAGTCTACTTGCATGCCACATTATATTATAATCAGATTTAAACTGTATTTGGAGTAGAATTTTAAAAGTTTTTAACAGAAATTTAAGAAAACCAAAACAGAAAACCAAATCTGTAGGAGGAGTAGCATTTTGAAAGAATTTCACAGAATTTTCTATTTTTAGTAACAACGGCAACACCGTTCATCGAAGTCAAAAACCGATACACAGAATTATGTATCTTAGTGTAGTCTACTTGTGTGCCAAGTTATATCGAAATCAGACCAAAACTGTAGGAAGAGTAGCATTTTGAAAGAATTTCACAGAAATTTCTATTTTTAGTAACAATGGCAACACCGTTCATCGAAATCAAACACCGATATACAGAATTATGTATCTTAGTGTAGTCTACTTGTGTGCCAAGTTATATTGAAATCAGACCAAAACTGTAGGAGGAGCAGCATTTTGAAAAAAATTTCACAGAAATTTCTATTTTTAGTAACAACGGCAACACCGTTCATTGAAATCAAAAACCGATACACTGAATCTGAAATCAGACCATAACTGTAGAAGGAGTAGCATTTTGAAAGAATTTCACAGAAATTTCTATTTTTAGTAACAACGGCAACACTGTTCATCGAAATCAAAAACCGGTATATAGAATTATGTATCTTAGTGTAGTCTACTTGTGCGCCAAGTTATATCGAAATCAGACCAAAACTGTAGAAGGAGTAGCATTTTGAAAACATTTCACAGAAATTTCTATTTTTAGTAACAATGGCAACACCGTTCATCGAAATCAAAAACCGATACACAGAATTATGTATCTTAGTGTAGTGTACTTGTGGGGGCCAAGTTATATTGAAATCAGACCAAAACTGTAGGAGGAGTAGCATTTTGAAAGAATTTCACAGAAATTTCTATTTTTAGTAACAACGGCAACACCGTTCATCGAAATCAAAACCGATACACAGAATTATGTATCTTAGTGTAGTGTACTTGTGGGCCAAGTTATATTGAAATCAGACCAAAACTGTAGGAGGAGTAGCATTGTGAAAAATTGTTTACAGACAGACAGACAGACGGACGGACGCCGGACGCATTACTATCGCATAAGCTCTTCTGGTCTCTGACCAGTAGAGCTAAAAACCAGTAGAGCTTCATTCTCGACAGAGACTTCTGGTTAAATTCGCTTCAGTCCAGTAGTGGATCAACAGTGTGTATTGTGCGTGTAGTGCATGATGGAGAATCAGCTCCCAACTCATTGGTAACTTCAGACATGCAGGCCAATTCTGAAAGAATACCATACTAGAGCACAAAAAATCCAGTTCAAAGACAAATTAACTGTCACCAGCACTACTTGAATTCATATATAAAGAACTAGCTATGGACATTTCTGTTGCAAGTCATCCAGCAACTCAAGACAGACTCCGGTTAATTTCATTTGGAAACACAAGTTTGATTGCAGATCTTAGGCACTTAAATCCTTGGTGACCAGGAGATAAGTATGACACCTATTTTGGGATGATGGGAAATATTATTGAAGAAATCACAGCTGCTGATGACCGAAGGCATGAAGTAGCTCACTTATCTGAGTTTTTATCGTTAGAAGATCTTAGGCAGAAGACCAAAGAACGTTGTGCTGATCCGGAAACTCCAACTCCTTCAAATAGATTAGTCAGATTACAATTTGCTTCCCGGAATCCTTACTGCCATGCAGCTCTGAACTTTACCTCGAAGATGAATAATCAGTATAAAATTCCAAAGAAACGGCTAAGAAATTTTCATATGGATGCTCATTTCTATAATGCTCGATTTAAGGTTTAAATCTTAGAGCCATAGAATTGCAAGACAAAGTATTACTTCTGTGTAGTGATGACAAGGCAAAAGTGCCGTGTGGAGAACCTGTTATGGCTGTATCAACTGCTGTAATTGTTAACCAAGTTTTATAAAATACATGTACAATTTCATCAAAATCAGTTTTTATCAGAACGGCCAACATTGTTCTACTGTGATTTTCAAGCATTTGTTGGAAACAAAATGACGTCCAGATTTGATTACAGGGCATTAGCTCTTCATAAAACAACGGCGACGTTTCAATCTTATGCTTTTAGCTAATTAGAATTCTTTACTCTTGAAACAATTCGATAATAAAAATTACCATGACTAATTAAAAGTGTTTCGGAGGGTTATCGGCGTCTCCATAGGGGTGAATAAATTTTCGAAAGGGACGTTACACAACAAACAAACCTGTTTTTGAATTTAAGATACGTAATGTATGGTAGGGCCCGCCTCATGAATAGATGAGGGGCCCACCTAGTGAACATCATTC